GTGGCGCAAAGCCATTCAAGACCGGGACGATAGGGCAGCCGATGGAACAAGGGGGCCGGGCGCTCACGGAAGGGCGCGGGGCGGTACGGCGCGGCGGGCGACGCCAGGCCACGCCACCGACGGCATCGCAGCTGGCTGGCGTGTTCTCAAGCAGCGTCGCGGAGCCTATGCTGGGCCGCGGCGGTGGCGGCGGTGGTGGCTGCCGGCTGGCGCGGTGGCGATCGGCGTGTCGGACACGTCTGTCGACGAGTTTGTGGCGTTGGCCGTTGTGGCCGGCCTCGCGGTGGTGGTCTGCCTCGGGCTCTGCTTCCTCTCGGTCATTGCTGCCGCAGGCATTGCGCCAGGAGAGCCGTTTGAACCGCGGGCAGGTATCCATCGCGACGATGCGGTGGCCGTGCAAAAGTGGGAGGCGCGTGCGTCGGCGAGTGCCCAGTATCCGCAGCCGGACGTCGGGCTCGCGTCGTGGGTCGACGCGCAGCAGGCGGCGGCACCGAATCCCGCGCGGCGAATCCGGCCGGCAGGCGCAGTGGCACCGTCTCCGCCGGCCACGCCAGCGCCAGTCACACCTGCGCCGGCCACGCCTGTCCTCCGCAATGCACCAATCTCGCCAGTGGCGTACGCGGTCTCGCCGTCGCCGATACAGGCTCAAGGCCCCGGGATGATGATGGCGGTCTCGCCGTAGCGTGCGCATCGTGTTTCAAAATGGAACTTTATGCATGTAACGTGCGGGTCGAGCTACGGCTTGGTCGGGGCCGGCAGGTCAGTGCCGTCGAGGAAGGCCTTGATGTAGGTCCAGGCGCGCGGGCCCTGGTACTCGGGAACCTCATGGCCAGCGTTGCGGACGGTGGAGAACATGAACTCGCCGCCGTGGCCATTCTCGTACGTCGTTGTCCAGCCGCCGACCTGGTTGAACGGGTCCGTCCAGGAGCGGAAGTCGCCGCCGGTGGCGACGGTCAGGTTCATGGTGTCGATCCAGAGCTTGGTGCCCGGGGTGGGGACGATGCCGTCGACGTCGCCCGAGTAGACGCGGACACGGATGTTGGCCGGGAAGAGGTCGTCGAGGTACTTGGGCACGACCGAAGCGAGGAGGTCCGGGTACGAGTATTTGACGATGGACGAGCAGCCGGACCAGGCGTACGGCAGCTTGGGTGCGTGGATGGCGGCCTGGACCGCGGGGTCGTTGAGGTACGCCGTGAGATAGTTGGAGACGCAGACCGGAGCCGGGTCGTACGGCGGCGGAGCCGGGCCGACAGCGGCAGCCGCCGCTGCCGCATCGGCGAGCTTTCGCTGCTGCATGGTGATGAGCTTGTCCATGACGCGGCCAAGCTGGGCGGCCGAGTCGGTCTCGGGGCCCTGTGCGAGGGCGCGGTAGAGGGCGTGGCCCTGGCCGGTGATCTCCGACGAAGAGAGGCAAACCGGCCAGTAGATGTTGTAGATGGTGATGTCACCCATCTGGGTCATGGCTTCGTTGTAGTACTTGTTGCACGCGGCGGGGTCGACGCCTTCGGCGGCAGCAAACGGCCCGATGTGGGCAAAGTCGCAGGTGGCAAGCAGGCCCTTGGCCACATCCTCGGAGATGATAGTGTGCGAGTCCCAGTCGAGGACGCAGCCCATGTTGTCGAGCGGCGCGTCAGTCCACGCGTTGCCGACCGCCATGCCCTTGAACGAGTTGGGGAAGGCCGGCGAGCCGGCAGCCGCCTGCTTCTGCATCTTCAGAATGTACGCCGAGAGGTTGACCGTGTAGTGGCCGCCGTACGACTCGCCGGTGATGTAAAAGTCGTTCTCGGCGAGCTCCGGGTACGCAGCAAAGAACTCGAGGAGGAAGGCGTACGAGACCTCGGCCGTCTGCTGGTCGCCCACGTTGTACCGCGACGTGTTGTGCGAGTACGAGAAGCCAACGCCGATCGGCGACTCGATGTAGATCATGTTGGCGAGCGTGTTCCACCCCCACGGGTTCGGCAGCAACTTGTTGTCCGGTCCCGCAAAGAACGGGCCCATTTCGGACATCAGGCCGAGGAGGCCCGAGCAACTACGCCAGCCGCCGTTGCCCACGCAGTGTGTGTGTTTCACTCGCCGTAAGTCATCCCTCCTCCCCACATACACACACAAACACACATCGATCACGAGCCCACAAGCTCTACACACACGTACCCAGGGCCACCGGTCAGCCAGAGCACCACGGGCTTGTTCTCAGGCTCCTCATCAGCCAGCGTCAGCCAGTAGAACATGTTCGAGCCGTACTTGGGCTCAACCTCCATCAGGCCAGCATACATCACGTTATCGCCGTCCCATCCAGGCAGATCCTTGATCAGGTCTACAACCCCCCTCCCCACACACACACACACACACGCCATCGGCCGGACATGCCCGTGTCCACCACCTCGACGACAATGTCAGTCGCATCACCCTCGCCGGCACTCCCTCGCTTCACACACACACACACAAACACACACACACGCACGCACACAAACACGCGCGCGCTTCAACCGTGCGTACCCTGCTCCCGTGCAGCAAACACCACCGAGAGCACCGTGGCAAGGGCTACAATGCCCAGAGCAATCGCAGTCCGCATCCTATGTAGTGTACTGCAAGTCACGTGGTCGCCTCTGCCTCGGGCTCAAGCGCGGTCGCTAACTTGAAGCGAGTGCCAGCTCGCATGCGCCATCCGCCGCTATCTGCCCGCCACCCACCCACAGCCACCCGCCATCCGCCCACAGCCGCCCGCCACCCACCCACCCACCCACCCACCCACAGCCATCCGCCACCCGCCATCCGCCATCCGCCATCCGCCACCCGCCACCCGCCACCCGCCACCCGCCACCCGCCACACACAGGTTCCGACCACCACCCACCCGCAGCTCACCACCACCCCCGCACCCCACACTGCACCGCCACCCCAACCGCTACCTCTCTCTCCCACTGTCATCAACATGGCTCGGAGCAAGAAGAACTCCCGCAAGCGCAAGAAGGTTAAGCGCAAGCGCCTGGGTGACTTGCCCAACTCTTGCAGGGCTGGCATTACTGCTGCCTTTGTCTTTGTCGTACGCCCCACCCCACCCCACCGCCCCCCCCCTGTCCCTTCACTCCCCATTCCTTCCTTCCTCCCTTCCTTCCTTCCTTTAGCACTGCCTCCCACCCCCCGCCCACCCACTCCCTTCCTCCCACTCCCTCCCCTCCCCCCTTTCCTATAACACCAACCCCCCTGCACACACACGCACTCTCTCTCTCTCCCTCTCTCTCCTACCACAACCCAGTTCCCTCCCCACCTAACCGCCCCACCCCACCCCCCAACCCCCGCACACACACAGGGCACTGTGTTTTGCTTTGCAGCACTGCTGATGGACGACTGGGTTGACTGGGGAGACGACAATACGGCCAAGACTTCGATCTCGCTCTGGTCGCGGTGCTTTGACCACGTCCACAACTTCCGGACATGCGTCGAGCTGCGCAACTCGGCTGAGGACTCGGACCTGGCCGATGCAGGCCTCGTCGCTGGCATCATGCTGGTGGCGGCTGTGACTTGCGGCGCCATCGGCACCTTTGTCTCGCTCATCTTTGCCTTTGGCAAGCCCATCGGCGTCTGCTGCTTCAACCGCTCGCGCAACGCAGCCATCTCGTTCTTCCTCACCTTTGGCATGACGCTCTTTGCGTACATGACGTGGATTCTGTACTCGTCGATCTACTTTTCGACGTCGCGGTACACCGACTCGGACCCGAAGCAGACCGCCGGTGCTGCGTTCTACCTTGCGGTGGTGGCCTCTGTTCTCGGGACCGTCGCCACGCTTGGCTCGCTCTTCAACTGGTGGGTCGATGCCAAGACGTACGAGGATACGGTGTACAAGAAGCCTGTCCTCGCCTCGCTTCTTCTGGCTATCGGCGCGGTGCTTGTGGCGCTTGCGCTCGGCACCCGCGGATGGATCCGGTCGCCGTCGTCCAACTCGTTCCAGCTTGAGGGCTTTACCGGCCGGGCTGAGGTTGGCCTCTTCCAGTACTGCCTTGTCTCGGGCCCGCTCTCGTCGTGCTCGTACCTGCGCAATGCTGACGCCTCGGTGGTCAAGACCAACGTGACCGGCATCTCGCTTGACACCCTCGCCGAGGGCGGCTCGACTACCGCGGCGCTGCTGGTGGCGAGCCTCCTCGCCGGCGTCCTCGGCTCGTTCATGGCCATGATCCACGGCCTGCGCAAGGACATGGGCTTCCTCTGCCTCTCCAAGTGGCGCAACGGCTACGTCGTCTTTGTGCTTTCAATCATCTTCTCCGGCTTCTCCACCGTCGCCTGGATCGCCTACTCCTCGGTCGTCTTCTCGGACGAGGACTACAAGGACTCTGACTCGCTCAAGGCTGGCTTCTCGGTCGGCTTTGCCGTTGCCGCCTCGGTCTGCGGCGCGCTCGCCACCTTCCTTGCCTGCCTCGCCCGCCACGGCTCGCCCGACTGGTACGGCTCGTACTACGACGATGATGCCACCACCGACGACGAGATGACGACCGACGCCGAGACGACCGCGTACTCGTCGTAATCGCGCCACGCTACCGCAGCGTACCGCTGCCGCTCGGCAGCGTTGGCTTTTGGACTTCCCCCTCCCTCCCGAGGGCGCCCCCCAAGAATGAACGCTACCGCCGCGTCTCCGCGCTTGTTCACTTATCGTGTGTACGTTGCCTCAAGCGCTACTGTTCCCAGTGTGAGTGCAGGACCCGGGCGAGGTCCATGCCGATCGACTTGGCCATGGCGGCGATAAAGTCGAGGCTCACGTTGGCCTTGTACTTGGGCCCGTCGAGATTGAGCTTGCGTGTGCGAACCAGGTCGAGCTCGACAAGCGTGGTGAGCTCGACAAGAAGGTTGGGCGTGAGCGGAACGCCCTCGCCCGGCTCGACAATGGCCTCGAAAATGGCGAGGATACGTTCGAGGGCGACAGTCCGCGGGCCGATGAGGTGCTGCGCCACGCGCTCGCCCTGCTTGTTGCCGATCCGCCCGCGTACCGCGTGGGTCGAGGTAAAGTACCGCTTGTCCAGAATCGGCGGGTTGTACGACGCGAGGTAAACGGCGATAAGCAGGAGCTTCGAGTCGCGCGAGAGCTCAACCTCGAGCTCGACCGCCGACTGGCGGTACGCCGCAAAGTCGTCGTTGCTTGTCGAGACGGCCTTCCACTGCGACGCGGTCAGCTCGCGGAGATAGACCTTGTCCAGCACCTGCTGAAGATACGGCCGGAGCGCGTCGTACAGACCTGTCGTGTTCGACGCGTCGATCGAGCCGTCGCGGACAGGGCGGGCGTAGGTGTCGAAGAGCAGATTGGTGACATACGCCAGCTCGTTGAGGTCGCGACACGAGATGTAAAACACGTTGTACATGAGGCCTGCAAAGGTGCTGAACAGGGCAAGCTCAGAGGCGCTCGGCTTGCACATCAGCGGCAAGATGGTGAGCACCTCCGACTTGGTGTACGCCCGGAAGAAGAGCGGGACCGGCTCGCGGCATCCGGTGTGGAACCGGAGCTTGTCCCACACCACTTCTGAGATGCACACAACGACCACGTCGAGACCGGTCAGCTCGTCGAGCCGAAAGAGCGTCGGCAGGATGTGCCCGTTGAGCGCAGGCAGTGACTCGACGTGGTCCAGGATGACGACGTGCCGCCGCGCCACCGCCGCCTCGTCCACCTCAGACAGCGCCTCCAGCAAGCTCGCCAGATCCGGAACAGGGCGCGAACATGCCGCAAAGCCGTTCTCCGCCGTTGGCTTGTGGCCTTCCAAAGCTGCCAAGATCCGCTCCAACACCGAGCCGGCGTCCGGCTCGGCAGGCACGTCGACGTACGCCACCACCACCTCGTCCGGCCCGGTCTCCTGGAGGCACCGAGCCACAGCAGTGACGCAGCTCGTCTTGCCCGTCGCCGTCATCCCATACACATATACCGGCGGGCACGTCCTGTCCGTCAACAGTGACGCCAGCAGTGCGATCTCATCCTCACGGCCCGGAAAGTGAGCAGCGACCTCGGCCAAGGCCAGCTCCAGCCCTGCCCCAGCCTCTGCCCTGCCCACCCACGACGCCACCAGCGCCTGCGCCACCTCGTCGACGCCTTGTGCCATAGCCGTATTTGCCATGAAAGGCTGTGAGTGTGAGTATGAATGAGGTGTGGAGGTGAGGTGGCAGTGGCAATGTGACCTGAATGTGCTGGAGAGTGTGTGTGGGAGGGGGGGTGATCCTCGACACACTACAGCCAACACTACCACACACATACAGCACACTACCACACTCCCACACTCCCACACACATACCACCTCCACCTCCACCCTACCACCACCTCCACCCCACCTCCACCCCACACACATACGCACACGCACCACGCATACACTCTCTCTCCTTCCTCATCTCATATCCATGTCGTCGTCCTCTTCGTCGGACGAGTTCCACTCGGCCGAGGAAGAGATCGCCCCTGCTAGTGCCTCCTCCACACCGTACGCACAGCTACCATGCTCCCCCCTGCCCCTGCCCCTCGCTCTTTCTCCTCATCTCCACTCACTCACTCTCCTTCAATAGCGCTCGGGATACCGGCAAGGAAGAGGTGGACCTCCCCTCGGCGCAGGCAGCAGTCACGGCGACAGCAGGCACGGCGGCGGCAGGCACCGCTGACGGTGGAAAGGGGCCTGGGAGCATGTACGACGCGCAGGCGCTGCAGAAGACGGTGGCACAGCAGACGGTCTTCTCTCGAATGGTAGTCTTTACGGCAGATGCTATCCTGGCAGCGTCGTACACTGTGAGCAACGACGAGGCTCCGTATCTGGCCTCGGTCTTTGATGATCGCACCGCCTCGGTCCGCGACGGCTACGACATCGACGGCATGCACTTTGATGTCCATCGCTTCTATGACAACCTCGTGTACGGCCGCTTTGGATACGATGAGGCCTCGGTTGCCTTTGGCGTCGTCCGCTTCCCGCGCGAGGCCTACGCCGACTTTATCTACGTTGCCGTCACCTTTGATTCCCCCATGACCACCGCCCGTGGCCTCCCGCTTCTCCATCGCTTTGTCTCTCAAAGCATACTTCCGCTCCTGGGCATGTAAAACCCACCATCTCCACCACCCCACCCCGCACACACACCCGCCCCCGCCCCACTCCGTTTCCCACCCCCACCCCCACCCACCACACACACACACACACTCACCACGCACCTCTTCTCGCTCTGCACAGCGTACGCACCCTCCCTCGTCAAACTCCCAATACTCCCACTCCCACTCCTCCTGCACTCCTCCTCCTTCCCAACCCCACAAGTTCGGCATGTGTACCCCCCCCTCCTGCCGTGGTGGGTAGATTCTCGTTGAAAAACCGCGCAAGCCCTTCTTCTGGGGGTACCTGGCCTACAGTCAGTCCCTGCACGCGCCCTTTCACCCCACACTACCCCAACCGCCACCCATTCATGCCTATATACCACATGCATGTGTTAGGCTCCTTTTTTCCTTTCTACAGCGCTGGTTGCCCCCACACACACCCACACGCCCGCCCCCCGGTGAGCCGGCCAGTCCGTGGCCCGATGCGCCAGTTTGGCGACGGTCGAAAAAGGTCGTACTTTGAGCAGTAGTCGCTATGGCCAGACAGACTCACCTCTCTCGTGCCGGCACACACCTCCACACGCACAGATGTTCTACTCCAAGTTTGTGCTGGCCAAGAAGGGCCCGCTGGGCAAGATTTGGCTGGCGGCGCACATGGACAAGAACCTGACCAAGACCCAGGTGTTCTCGACCGACATCCGGTCGTCGGTGCAGTCGATTATGAAACCGACGGTCCACCTCGCGCTCCGCATGTCGGGCCATCTGCTGCTCGGCGTTGTCCGCATTTACTCGCGCAAGGTCAAGTACCTGCTAGACGACTGCTCCAATGCGCTGGTCAAGATCAAGCTCGCGTTCCGGCCGGGCGTGGTCGACCTGCCCAAAGACCAGACCAAGGCCAAGGCTGGAGCCATCACGCTCGCTATGGCCGACGGCCTCCTCGACCTCCAGCTGCCGGACCTCGCGCTCGACGAGCAGCTTGTGCGGTACGACGCGTTTACGGCCGACCCTGCACACATCACACTCGCCGGCGATGACATGCTCCGCAACCTGGAGACGTCGGCTGGGCTCTCGGGCAGGGCGCATCAGCTCCCGCTGGAAGTCTCCAAGGGTGAGGATCCCGAGTGGGCGGTCTTCCACCCGCTTGGCCTCGTCCCCGCGCCTGGTGCGCTCTCGGCTTCGGCGCTGTCAGGCTCGGGCATGTCCGTCGAGCTTGGTCGAGACGGCCGCCTCTCAACCGGTTCATTCCAGCAGATCGACGACTTTGGGGCCAACGACGACTTTGAGCTTGGTGTGAGCCCGGCCAAGCACGGCCTTGCCGGCGACGATCAGCCCGAGTTTATGATGGGTGGCGACGCCGACTTTGAGGACTTTGGCGGCGGCGAGTGGGGCTCGCCTGGCCAGGGCGTCGGCGCCGCCTCGCCGCGCCTCTCGTTTGGCGGTAGCGAGGCTGTCGGCGCCGTCCCCGAGCTCTCACTCAACCTCTCACTGGCGCCGGGCCTGTCGACACTCGACCTCACGGCGCCGTCGGGCATGTCGCTCGAGGGCGAGGGCGCCTCGCTCGACACAACGGCTGCACTGGAGCAGCTGACCCTCAACTCGACGTTCATGAACGACATGTCGCTCCTCTCAGCATCAGGCATGGCCTCGCTCCTCGGGTCGTCGGCAACATCACGGCCCGGAGCTCCCAAGTCGCGCAAGCGCAAGCGCAACGACGGGCCAGCCGTCGACGTTGCCATCCAGCTTACCTCGGATCGGATCAAGGCTCAGCTCCGCGACACCTCGGACATTGTTGAGGACCCGATTGTGGCGCCAGTGACCAAGAAGGCCATGCTCCGCCGCGTCGAAGAGAACGAGGGCATCAAGGGTGTGTTTGGCCACCCCTTTGTCCGCCACGGCCTCGCCCCGCAGCTTGCCGTCGTCGTCGGCAAGGCTCTCACCGAGCGCCCGCTCGACTACCCGCCGCCCTCGCTCACCTCGGCGCTCGGCTCGCGCAAGTCTGCCTCGCCCGAGCCCACCGGCGCCGGCGATGCCCCATCCGACGCTGCAGGCCTCTCGTTTGGCGACTGGGACGAGCTCGAGGCCGCCGGCCAGGGCGGCGAGCCGCAGTTTGAGGGTGGCTTTGACGACTGGGGCCAGGACGATTTCGCCGCCATGGAGCCGCTCGACAACGAGTCGCTCGCTGCTCCCGCGTCGTCCACCAAGTTTGCCGCCTTCAACTACGGCGCCGCCGACGAGTCGCTCAACACCTCGGTTGTCAACGATGACGCTGATCACGGTGTCTCCAACTGGTCCAAGCGCACCCGCGCCCTCCTCACTTTCCTCGGCGATGCCTTTACCGACGCAGACATCACTCCGCCGGAGCAGGCCCAGCCAGCACCCACCCCCTCGTCCGACTCGGGCGTCTCGTTTGCCGCTACCTTTGCCGGCGCCTCCAAGCGCGAGGCCGCGGGTGCATTCTTTGAGCTCCTCGTCCTCAAGTCGCATGGCCGCATCGCCGTCAACCAGCCGGAGCCCTATGACGACATTGCCATCGCGCCCACAGCCACCTTTGCTGACGCCATCCCCGTCGCATGAGGCCATCCCCCCCCCCCCCCTCCGTCACCTCTAAATGTGTTGATCACTGTGTGCGCTCCAAACCTGACAATGCACGTGTTCCTTGCCCGCCAGTCCACCGCCTCACCCTCGACACACCCCTCTCACATCCCCCACCCCCCCCCCCCCACCACCACCACCACCACCACCAACGCCGCCATCACACACACAAACACACCACCCATGCCCCCAGTCATACTCAACCCTGAACCGCCCGCCCTCACGCCCCATCAATGGGCCTGGCGTGAGGGCCTCACTCCGCCACAGGTGGCGGCCGCCCTCCTTCGCACCCTCCAGCGTGCTGTCGACAGCAGCACTTCGCCGACAGCCACCATGCTCTCCGCCACCTCGACAGTCCGCGTGGCAGACTCGCCTGACTTTGCCATCTTTTCCACTCGCGTGGCAGAGCTCGCTGCCGTCACAGGCATTGCCGCCCTCGAGCCCGATGACGCCGTCGTCTTCTTTGTCAACATCTACAACATGCTCATGCTGCACATGTACATCGTCGCGCCTACGCCATCGTCGGCTCGTGGCATCCTGGCATACGTCAACGGCTACGGCTACGCCCTTGGCGAGCTCGGCATTGTTACTCCCTTTGACATCGAGCACCTCATCATCCGCGCCTCGTCGGCCCGTCCCGACTTTCTCGGCGCCTCGCTCATCCTGCCCTCGTCGTCGCCGCGGGCAGCAACGTTTGCACCTGTCCGCTTTGCCGCCCCTGTCCCACTCGTTTCCTTCCTCCTCTGCTCTGGCGCAAAGTCGGGGCCGGGTCTGGTTGTCCTCGATCCCGATGCTCCGCTCCGCGAGCAGATGGTCGCCGCTGCCGGCGCCTATCTCGGCGCCTCCGTCGTCGTCAACCGCCTCACCGGCACCCTTTACCTTCCCAAGCTGCTCGAGTGGTATGCTGCCGACTTTGAGCCTGTGGCGGCCGGCTCCGCGCCCGTCGGCATCGTTCCGGTCATGCGCGCTCTCCTCGCGCCGCGCCTCCGCTTTGAGCTCGACGCCCTGTTCAAGGCTAACGCCGAGCCCAAGATCAAGTACACTGACTGGGAGTGGGACATGCATCGCATCCGTCTCCCCTTTGACTCGGGCGTCTCGCCGCTCTTTTACTTTGAGCACCGCCTCGCGTCACAGGTCGACGCTGCAGGCCGCACCCTTGCCACCATTCTCCACTACATGCGCGAGGAACTCCCGCTCGGTGCCCATCGCCACCGCTTCAAGCGCTACGAGGCTGCTTTCACCGGCCAGGCCGCCGTCGACTGGCTCGTCTACATTGTCGGCGGCTATAGGTCGCGCAAAGATGCCGCTGCCACCGCCACCGCTATGCTCCGTGCCGGCGGCCTCATCTCTACCGCTGCACAGCCCGACTCTCTCACACTGGCTGTCCTCGACAAGTCGACCGAGTTTTACACCTTCCAGACGCCTTGGGATGAGTACACCGTCCGTGTCCAGTACCGCGCCGAGCTCGGCGAGCTCGCCACTCGGCTCGCAAGCTCGGTCGACGTCGCCGATCGTACCTATCATGCCCGCTTATATCCAGCATGCTTTGTGGCGAGCGAAGCTGTCGACGCTCTCAGCACTCTCGTTTCCCACGCTTCACGCCGCGATGCCATCGCCCGCGGTACAGAGCTCTTTAACGAGGGCTTTATCTACCACGTTGCCCATAAGCAGGCCTTTGCTGACAAGTTCTACTTTTTCCGGTTCCGCCACGGTCTCGCCCTCGCCGCGCTGCTGCCACCTGGGCTCGAGTGGCTTGCCCCGCCGCCGCTCGACCAGATCGAAGCTGACTCGATGCCGCAGTCGTCGCCTTCCGCCACTGAGGCGGAGACCGATCTTGCCGCCCCGCTCGAGACCATTTTTATCCGCGACAGCCTCCGCTCGGCGGCGGCGTCGTCGTCTCCTATCTCTGTCCGCCTTGTCCACCGACCGAGTTCTTCTTCCGGTCCGCTACCCGACAGCGCGTTACTCACTCCAGCGCCTCTCTCAACAGCGCCTGATTCAGTTCCGGCGCCGACTCCAGCTCCGCGCGAGCCGCCACGGGTCCGCCGTCGCCGCTCCAGTCCTCGATCGGTGGCACGCCTGTCCACCCACTCGAGCGAGCGCTCAGGGCCGGAGGGGGCACGGTCGCAGCGCTCAAGTTCGGCCCCTGCTCCGTTAGAGAACGGCATACTCCTCCGCAACGAGCTCGTTCTCTACACCTTTGTCGGCGCCGCTATCTACACAGTTGGCTTTTCGTGCTCCCCGCCTCGGTCTCGCTCTTGGAGCGGGCTGCCGGCACCGTCTTGGTCGGTGCCGCTTGCCTCCTTGCTGCTTCACACATGTACGGCACATCGCCGCGCGGCAAGCGACAGGCTGCATTGGACCGCCTCGAGGCTGTCGTCAATCATCATGTGGCACCGCTCGCTCCTGCTCCCGCAACTCACCGGGATCAGCCAGACGCCACGCCGCCTCGGCTTCAGCCTCAGCCGCAGCCGCAGCCACAGCCACAGCCACAGCCACAGCCCGAGTTACCAGCAGAGCCAGCGCCTGCACAGGAGTCGACGCGGCTGTGGCTGGACGCCGACTTTGGCGGGCTGGACCAGCCGCCTCCGCCGCAACACTACTACGGCGATCTGCAGGTCTCCCTCATTGGGCACGGGCCTATCCGGCTCAACGAGGGCCCGATCGAGTTTGAGAACGATGTCTTCTGCGGCTCGGTCGACGTCCGGGTCCGCGGCGCAGCCGGCGCACCTCACCTTGACTACTGGGAGGGTCGGCAACGCGTGTTTGCCATCATCGTGCGCGGAGAGTTCAAGCGAGAGTTCAACGGCAACGAGCTGTACTTTGGCTCGCGGTTCTCAGGCCCACTCAAGGTTCCGTTTGGCGCATCAGTAGGCATTCGGTTCGCCAAACTCATTGACCCGGGTCTTGAGGCTGACCTGCACTCGCCAACACCGTCAATCATCTCGCCACTGCTGTGCTCGGTCAACGAGCTGACGGGCCCAGAAGTGCCAGCGATGGAGTCACCGGCGCGCCGCAAGTTCTTCAAGTCAGAGGAGCACCGCGGCGCGTTTACCTTTCGGCCGGGTGCCGAGTACAGCTTTGAGGCCTACGGCGACGTGCTCGACTGGAACACGTTCCGGCTCTCGATCGGCCCTCTCCGGCTCTCAGCAGCCAAGTACCTCAACGGGCAGCCTGTCCACATGCAGATTGTGGCGCCGGAGACTGACGACGTCGTTGTCGCGGTTCGGTTCGATCACCGCAGCCTCCAGCGCGCGCGCGGCGTGCTCGAGTAGCAGCTGGTAAACAGCTCACGAGAGAGCAACGCCGACGCCGACGCCTGCCGTGCCGTCGTCTGGCTGGAGGCCGACGTTGGAAACAAGCGAGAGCCGCCGCAGCTGCGGCAGCTCGACGTTGCGGACCTGCGCACGAATGGTCGGATCGTTGGGCGCGACGGCTTGCAGCGAGAGCACTTTGCCAAAGGCGACGCCCGCAGCCTCGGCATCGCCAGCATTATGCGCCAGGAACGAGGCGTAGCCAAAGTTGGCGCGGATAGCAAAGTCGGGTTGAGCAAGCTCGACCGCGCGTTGAAAGTGACGCGCTGCTCCGTCCATGTCGGCAAAGCCGCTGACAAAGATGCGCGCGGCGTAGAGGTGCAATGGCGCTGAGTACTCGGCAACCGGCGATGTCAGGAGCTCGTGAGCAAGCTCGGCGCCACGAGAGTACTTGTTGGCCTTGCCGTAGGCACGGAGGAGGGCGACACCGCAGCAAGCGAGATGGTCTCCGCGGTGGCTCGAATCGAGCACAATCTCCAGATGCGGGATGGTGGCGTCAAAGACCGAGTCCGAAGCTCCCCAGTGGAGCCGTTCGGCGCGCTCGTTCTCTTGCCGCGACGCCAGGTACGTTGATCCGCTCGAGGCCTTGACCTTGGGCTGCAGCCGCGGCCCGCTTGCGCCCGAGCTGTCGAGGTCGTTGTTGACCGTTCCCATCAGCATCGACGAGCGGAACGCGTCGTACTCGACGAGCGCCCTGGCATACATACAGTGCAACGTGGCCGGAAGCGGATCGCGGTCATCAAGAGCCGCTACCGCCGGCAGCTCGAGCGTATCAAGTGCAGTAGTGAGGAGCTCGAACAGGAGGTCCGACTTGCGCTGCGGTGGTGGGCCGGCGTCGACCAGAGCCCGGACAACGCTAACCATGTCGAGCAGCATGTGTGGGTCGTCAAGCGGAACGGCATTGCTCTGTGCAGCCCGGTAGTGCGCGTGCGCCTCCTGCAACAGATCGCGGCGAACAGGAGGACTCACGTCGGGCTCGTTTGCCTCGGCGTGAACAATGTGCGCGAGGACGGCCATGTCCCGGCCTGCTGCCGACGGCATGTTCGCCACATCGCGGAGCAAGGCCAGTGCGGCCTGCTTCCGGCCAGCCGTCCGCCACGACGGTGCCCCAATGGCGCGATCTCTACGGAGAGCCGCAAGCATGGCTTCAGCGTAGCCGACCATCACCGATGGATTGTCTGGCTGCGCCACCGCCAGCGGCGCGAGCATGGCCATGGCCTCATCGGGATCATCCGCCTCGGCCGCTGCCGTCAGCAGCGCCTCGGTCGCCAGCAGCACTTTTGGCTGGTCCGGATGGCGGAGGCGGGCGCATTGCGGCTCGTGGCGCGCCGTATCCGCCACAGCGCATGCCCGCGAGCAGTACACCGCCAGCCTGCATCCTGGACAGACCACGACGCCCGCAGAGCCGCCAGCCGTCCCAGCAACCGGATCCGGATCTACCTGTGAAACCGGGACCACTGACGACTCTGACTGCGATCCGCCGCCATCGCCAGCATTGGTGCCCAGCCCGTCCCCAGCAGCAGGCGGGTGGACCAGGACGGCAGCGCAGGCGCAGCAAGACCTCCGTGCCCGCGCCACCAGCAGAGGCGCAGGCGGGCACCACCCGGGGCGCTCACTCTCGGCAGCGTCCAGCGTAGCCTCAATAGCGGCGTCCATGAAGGGTACGGGAAAAGGGGGAGGGGGG